ATAATACCGAGTCAAAAGAAGACTCAAAAGTAACACTGGCTTCATCCTGCACTCAGTGACATGCATGTTAGATTTCAAATTGTCCATGGAAGTGAATGCTTGTTTGCCGAAACCTTGATTGGCCGGCAATCAGTTCAGAGCGTCACTTGCCTTTTTCTTGATGTCAGCCGGCCGTGATGGGCTCCAGCCACTTGTTACCCTGAACCGGATAAGCAGTATAATTGACTAAGTCCAGTCTCAAAATACTCAGACTTGCATATCGCTACTTTGAAGGTAACCTGATAACCTGTCCGCTGTACTCACCGCTGTCCCTGAAGGGGTTAGAAATCGCTGTACTACTTTTGTGCGATGCAAGAAGGTGACAGAAGCGCTGAGTCATAGGTGCGATCCTCGTGATTTGGTGCCTGGGAAGATGTCATAATAAGCTGTTGATTCTCACACCCTTGAGAACTGTAGATTTGCCTCCTCGCCAGCACAAGGCTTCCCTTGTATGCAGCAGGCGTCTTGGGTTCTCTGCGTGTGTGTACTTTGGCTATTTGTATGTATGATTTGAGTTCCAGGCGAGGGTGTGAATTTTATTGTCTGTTCATGTGGACAAATGGTATGTGTGAGCGTGTCTGTGTTGTCGCTAATTACCTTTCTTCACAGTGGCGCCTGCTGCTATTTGTGAGGTGCAACATGGCGCTGTCTCAGGTCAGACACAATGCGCCGCCTCGTCACTGTAGGTTTTCCACCGTTATTCAATTTTGGACAACGCCCGCTTGCGGGGTTCCATTTTGAGCGGGTTGCGACTGTTTTTTCATGACAAGTGACATTCTCATAAGTAACATTGCGGGTGACAAATATTTTGGGCTGTTCCGAGCAAAATACGTCTGGCGATCATCAGTGAATCGCCGAATGCTTTGGTTCGTCGCTGATGTTGGGCTTTGGAGTATAAGGCGCACCTTCGAAGAATGGCCTCTTTTATAACTGTTTTTATATATAGGGCGCATCGCTTTATAAGGCGCATCGAATTGAAGTGACAATAGTGGCTGCGGTTGCACTATGCATCCACTAGATGGAGCTACGCTAAAGAGAATACAATACAATACAAAACAATACAGCTTTATTTATATCAAGTCATATCGGGCGCATTGTCGAAATTGAGATGCTTTTAGGTGCACCTTATAGTGCAGAAAATACGGTAGACATGTTTCCAGGAACCTTGGGTTGCTTCAGGCCATGTCTGTGAATTGTCGTTTCCCCGAAGCTCCCGAGATTCCCTCTGGCTGGCTACTGTTGTCGCTACTGGAGCCCAACCGCTTGATTGTGTGTTTGTGTATAGAACAGAAAATAAAACAAAAAAAAATGGAATGAAGTGCGAGTGGGAGAACGACAGGGAATAAGTGATTTTGTTACTAATGATCCTGGCAGCTTCCACGCCTCTGCTGAGTTGCGCGCGTTTTGTAGCGGGAGCAATTAAAATGTGCCGAGGGTATCTCCTGTTTGTGTGATCTGCTGGATGATCGCCGTTACTCCATCTTTCACGGGACATCTGGACTGCAACATGGTGCTTGGGCTAACTGAGGCAGACACGTGCGGTCAAAGACAATTTGTTAATAGACATGTCAACAGGGAAAAAGCCATTTTAGTCGACGTACGGTGGCGGGCTCCAATTACAATATGTGAGACAATATATTACATGTTTGCTTCCTCTAATATAAATGTGTGTGTGTGTGTGTGTGTACATATGTGTGTGTATATATATATATTATATATACACACACACACACAATTAGTTCAATAATACACTGAGCCTGATTATTTTGCTGCTTAAAAAAATGATTTCCTGAAATAATAAAAAGCTAATTTACATAACATCATCGGTACATGAAATATCACCAAAATATCAATCCCGTGGCACGGGATTTTCCAATGTCGTGCAGCCCAAATTAATGGTGCATTTGCATACTTTTCCTATTTATGTTGACATCAATCGTATGAACAAAATCTAATATAGTGGAGTTCGTAAAACAGACTCGGTCAGCGTTTGAGTCAGTCATGATCGCTGAGAGTCGATCACATTGAGAGAAAAGGAAAGTCATGTCGAGAGAGAAAAGAAAAAAACATTTTTTTTATTTTGAGAGATCATTTTGTTTTGTGAGAGAAACCAGTAGGTTTTTTTTCTTCTTTTTTTTTTTTTTTTTACATTAGAGAGGGAGGTCTATTTCTGTGGTGTCTGGGGGGGAAAAAAATCCATCGGTACTGATAAGAAATTGTAGGAATGACTTTTAATACAGCTCCAGTTTGAATTAAAACTAGTTCATCTTTCAGTATTTTGTGGATGGCTGATTTGAAATTTCATTGGATGGGAGGAGGGGGCGGGGTCACAGAACATTTTCTCCAAGTCTGACATGATGTAACTCACTGCAGTTCTCCGGTCCGTGTAGCCTTGTGTGGGTCAGCCGAGAGATGATTTGACAACAACAGAGAATGAATGATGCAACAAACAAGAAATAAAAACACGCACACAAGAAAATATAAAATATAAATAAAATACTTGAAATTTATATTGCAATTCCGTATCCATTTTTTAAAAAATCCGTATTGCAGTCCTTCCAATTTGATTCTTCGCATTTTCGAACACGATGAGGATGCATTGATGTTATTTTTCCCTTCATGACTATTTATGTCGCATTATTGAGTTATCGCCATCCAGCCAACGAATCCTGTGGTGCAAACACCGCCATCATTCTTCCGAATCATACCACAGTGGGGCATTTTGAGCTGGTCCGGCACATAATCATTAGTTTTATCTGCCTTTTGCTTATTTTTCAGTGGGTCTGAGGTAGCTTAAGAATCTAAGCTTGGAGAGAAATAATGAACAGAAGCACCATAAAACACACACACACACACACACACACACACACACACACACGCACACAAGCTGCATTTAAAAGTAGTTTACGGTTATGACTGAAGAGAACGGCACTTTGCAGCCACTATCCAAGAATCACTTGGTAGGATTATAAAGTGTGAGTAGTAAGGTGTTTTTTTTTTGTTTTGTTTTTTTTAAATTATAGTGTCTTTATTCAAGAAGACACACGTTGATTGAAATCGAAGGAGACAGTCATGGGCCGTACCGTAGAGTCAGTAAAAGTCTTTTAGATGCTTGTCCTTTCGGATTGTTTGTGAGGTTCTGCTACACATTTTTAGGGCATTTCCCACCAGAGTGAAATGACCTTTTGGTATGTGAAAAAACGGTGTTGTCACAATGTAGATGCAGGTCCCCCCCCAAGCTGCTTTGGCTTGACATCCTCCAAGATGTTTGTGTTCACATTTATTTTCTTTAAACATCTGGGCATCAGAGGTTGGGCAGCGGGCAGGTGAGTGGAGTGGGGATTTTTTTTTTTTTTTTTAATAACCAAATAGAGTATAGAAACTTATCGTTCCTGTTTTTATTTATTTTTTTGGCGATAAACTATTGACCTGTGATCGGGGGATCAAAAGATAATGACAGTTGTATGGTAATAGAACTGGTTTGTGTCCCCGGTTGTTAGTCACAGTCACTTATTGGTGTAAACACTCGATGCAGGAGTTATACGGGATATAAAATCGCAGCCACTAAATGTAGAATATCCATTTTTGAAAGTGCTGGTCCTCACTCAGGTTTCATACACTAGGCAAGACACAACTCTGAAAAGTAGGCTGGCTTCACTTCCGTTGTCAACTTAGTCCATTTGTGTACGGCATAACAGTTAAATGCAGCTTCACCATATTTGCTTTGAACTCTGTGCTCCACTAATTGACCCAAGTCTTCAGACCTCAGACCCCCCTACTGGGTTTATATTCAGTCAGCATTTCTCAGAACCAGTTTGCGATTTATAGACCAGTAGCGCAATTTTCAAATCTATTCTAAAGCTGACTGGGAGCCAGTGTGACACCTTTGAGACCGGAGTAATATGTTCTATTCTCTTTGTTCCGTTCAGGACCCGTGCTGCGGCTGTTTGATGCTCTTTTGAGGGAGCCCGGTCAGGAGATCAACAATATAAATGAAGTCTACTAGAGATAAAAGCATGGATACGTTTCCCCTGCTCTGACTGGAACATGCGACCCTTCAGTCTGGAGATGCCTTTCAGCAGGTAAGAGACTTATTTTAGTGATTGATTTGATATCATTGCTGAAGGTCAGGTCAGAGTCTAACGGCACCACGTGATTTCAGCCCCGGTCTTTGGTTTCTGAGGTGGTGGCTTCTCACAGCAATCTTTTTGTTATTGCCCCCCCCAAAATGAACAATGACCTCCCTTTCTTTTTGGATTAGCCGAGGAAAGTTTTAGGTTCATCCAGTTGTTAGACAGTGACAAAAAACATGATGCATTCAGGTTGTAATGCTCAAAATCATGTTGATAAATTCTGAAATCTGCATTCCTTGGACTGTGTCAGTCAGGCCCGTGCGTGCGTATGTGTGTGAGATGCTCCCCGAGGGGATCACTGAATGTGTTGACAGTGACATAGCAAAACTTCACATTGCTCAACACCATTTAAAAAAAGGAACCCTTTTACAGTTATTGAATCAGATTTTTCCTTCGACTCGCCGTTCCTATTTTCAGTTGTACTTCAGCTAAAATTTGTTTTTTTAAATGACTATTGCGCAATCTATAAGGAACTGTATGCCATGAGAGGACTTCGCACACTGTGGATCTTATGCGCCGTTTCCCTAGGGTGACGCAAATGCACATGAATGCACAAGAGTCAGCAGTCCGAACTTTATGGTCAAACGGCCTCCAGGCCCACTGGGACCTCTCCCGGGAAAGACGGCCAATCCTTACATCTGAGTTTGTGTGCGCCTCACAAGAACTGCATTCACATCAGCCAGATGTGTTAATGTGGCGGTCGGAGTAGCCGCGAAATTTTTCACTGGATTTATTCCGTAGAAAGATACATTAGACTCACTTTTGTTTTGTTGAATATTTAAGTACGTCCAGAATTGGGATATAAACACTCCGGGTGACGACGCTCCTTAAACTCCACTCGTGCATTGGAAGGGCCAAGTACACCTACATGGGGCTCGACCCACGTGGTCCCCCCCACCCCCCTGAGATGAAGCTTGCACGCTCGGCTCTGTCAGCCACTCCACGGCTCATTACAGTGAAGCCACAGTGCACATTGCTGCCAAGGAACTCGGGGAAGCTGTGTTTATCTCCAGAAGATTGAGACAGATTGAATATGTAAAGTAAGAAGCGAGTGGAATCCCATCACGCTGATTGCTTTAGACCAGCTGAGAGTCTGAGATTGATTCTAACAGTTGTTGTAGAGGGACAGCAGTGGGTGTGGCTGCGGGTGTATGTGTGTGGTCCCAATTCATATGCAATACAACCGCGATTCTCATGGCCCCCTAATGCAGACCATTACGTGGCAGCGCTGCGGATGGGTTGCAGGTGCGGTTTGTAATCGTGGTTGCAGCCAAGAGAGCGCTTCATTTTTAATGACACGACTCAAGGTGACCAATCGTTATGAGGCACGCTTGTTGGAAGCATTGTTTCACATTGCAGGCGTTCCAAGGCTGATTTTTAAACGTGAAAGACTTTTCCTGAGAGCGAGAACCTTGTCATTTTTTTTTTTTAATTTTTTAAATGATACTTTGAACTGGTTAGCATGTCGGCCTCATAGTGCAGAGAGGTGCAGGGTTCGATTCCAGCTCCGGCCTTCCTGTGTGGAGTTGGCATGTTCTGCGTGGGTTTTCTCCGGGTATTCCGGTTTCTTCCCTCATTCCAAAAACATGTGGCAGGTTAATAGAATGCTCTGAATTGTCCGTAGGTGTGAGTGTGAATGCGGATGGTTGTTTGTCTATGTGTGCCCTGCGATTGGCTGTTCAGGGTGTCCCCCGCTGAATGCCCGAAGACAGCTGGGATGGACTCTAGCGTTCCTTGTGTGGATAAAGCAGATCACAAAATGGATGGATGGATGGATGGATGGATGGGTACTTTGAACTACTTTGCTTGAAATGCTTGAAGAAATATGGCTCAAAGATTCTGCATTGTAACTTGCAAACATTTTCATATACATGAAACTTTTTTTTACGTTGTCATGTTACAACCACCAACGCAAATTTTTGTTGTTCATATTAACCAGAACAGTGATCCATTAATTGCAAAGTGGGGAAAAAAAAGTCACTAAATCAGAGTAACAATCATTCACATTCACAACTATGGACAATTTGGAGTCTTCAGTGAACCTAACATGCATTTTTTTTTCTTTTGAAATTTGGGAGGGGGCCGGAATACCCGGGGAAAGCATTCGCAAGGACTATGTGAAGCTCATGCTGGTGGTGAATAGTCCAGTTGATTTTCTCAGACGTGAGCGGCATCCAAAATGTTCTCTCTGACGACAATATGCTATGACCTGTTCTGACCCCAATGCGGAAATTCTGATTCGGTGTTCATTTTCAAAGGCCGATTCAGAAATCAGTTTGAGTCACCACCGATTTGTGCAGCCGAAGCAACTACGTGGAGATATTCAGCAAACTAAAGCCTGTTAATCCTACCGATTACTTAATATTGTTCCTGGCTTTGCAAACACTGAATAGAAAGTAATCAGACGATGGCACAGAAAAACAAAACTATGATTATAACATATATATTTATATATTTTTAAAGATGGATAGATTCTTTATCCACAAGGGTAATTCACTACTCGTCCTACTTTCTTGAGTGAGGAAGCGCAAGATTCCCTCATCCATTCAAATACAGTCAACAGCAACGCACAGCGACTAATGAGAAATTTGTCTCACCGAGGGAAGGGTTGGGAGTTAAGCAGATCTGCTGGCCTAATTAGAGGAATTTAATTTCTCACAGATTCACGTGACCCAAACTTTAATCATGCATTTTGAAGGTGCATGGGGGGGAGAAGCGAAGGAGAAAGACAGAGAAGAGAATATCATGCATTTCCCTTTTTTTCTTGAATAAACAGCATTCCCGTGTAAAAACCAGAGAAAGGGAGATGCTCCGGAGTGCAAATACAAAAAGCTTGGATATTGAAACAGCTCCGTTGGACAGCGGGACAAATATTTGCATTGCCAGGTTGAAGTACCGTAATTGAGAAGCTGAATGAAGTTTGTATTAAAATGTCAACAGGAGTTGCAGCCTGTCTAACGTAACATGATAACCGCTAGTCTTGGTGGGTCTCTTTTTTTGTTTTTTTTTCGACTGAAATCAACCGCTTGTACGACACGTACAGTAAATAATCCTGTAATTAGTGCCTGTCTGCCAACAAACGTGACCCTGCGCACATCAGGCACACGTGTGAGAACGAGGCCTGCTGAGTGTGATTCAATCTGTCCAAATATTTTACACCGCACACGATGGCGAGGACTGCCTAAGAGAATGAAATGGCAGGTGCAAATATTTTCATTTGAAAAGACGATACGTATTCAGCTGTCGATATAAAAGTGACTCGTCATTTCTTGCACGTGTTCTAATAGTTGATATCTTATGTAGTTTTTTTTTTCATTATTGAAGGAGGTCTGCGCTCGACTTGGTGCCGTCTAGTTTTTATGGTCAACATGGCACTGCTAAAACAATAAATGCAATGCCCCCCCCCCCCCAGACTTTAGCATAGTACAATATACTAAAAATGCGGAGGCCAATGTGTTCCTGGCAGCTCTTTCATTCGTGCCACTCCAAAGACAAATGGCTTCAATAAGAATCCCAAATCTATCCGTCTGTTTGAGTATGGGAAAACACCGCTTAATTCCTGACTCACTTGCCTCAGGTTTGTACGGTCTGCACCAAAAGGCAAGAAATAGCTTTGACAAAGTACAGCATAATAACCCCCATCAAAGATTCCAATGTTAAGAGGCTGGATGTACCGACGCCGTGACCAGGGCTATCGACAATCGCAAAACGGAACGTTAGGGAACGAGATTGTGCATTTTCCAGCCAATGAATCGGTGCTCTAAACAAAGTGTAATATGCGGCTTCGGAACTCGGAATCCTCCGTGCCATGACATTAACGCATTTGGATACCAAACGAGAGCACTTATGAGGATTTAGGAGTAGGCGCTCGACCAGCTTTTGGAACATTGTGAGTCAGCTACATTACTGAGGCTAAAATTCCATCTGTCTTGCCGAATCGGAGTTGAGATGCAACTGTCAGAATGCGTTGAGGCAGCAAGACAAGGTTTCGATGTGACAAAGTTAGTGTGAAAGTGTTAGCTTGTTAACTCAAAGCATCCTCTTCCAAAAATCAACCTTTTGGTGTGTCGGGTTGCAATCCTTGTGTCATCTGCCGTACGATGCTAACTACTATATTGGCCTGAATATAAGACGGTGTTTTTTGCATTGAAATAAGACTGAAAAAGTGGGGGTCGTCTTATATTCGGGGTCTAGACATTATACCCATTCACGACGCTAGATGGCGCCAGATATCATTGAAGCAAATGCTGAACTTGACTCCCCAGGCCAAAGTGAACCCCTGTCACGAAGAATAAAAATAAAAATAGCAGTAGCACGAAGAAGAAAAATAAAAATAGCGACTCTTGTGATGATAAAGTGCATCGGGAAACTGTAGTGACCGCCATTCCTGAAAGGTTTAAAATATCATTCATTCTTGCATTCGGGGAATCTGTTTTTGTAATGTCAATTAGCCCTCAGTATAACTTCCAAAAAAGTGAAAAGTGCAAGAGATTGTGCAATTTACTCATTCCCTGCCATTGACGACGATTGATTGTCAAAGATTCATTTCGACTGCGCTGACTATGAATGAGTTATGAAGGTGACGTTTTCACTGGCGTGTGAGCGTAGCAGTGCACCGCTCTAATACACATCTGTGAAGTTCAGAGTCTTTAATTGAGTTGGTAATTGTAGTTTTCAAGAAATGTGCTGTTTGAACAAAAGGGTCAGATCTCTCTTGGTAATTTGTTTGCTTACCAGAGCGGAGAAAATATCCTGCACGTCATCATGCAGCCAATTCAATCGCTGGATTAGTGTTTGAGCAGTGTTGGCTAGTTCTGATTTATGTGTGGGTTAGATGGTGGATGGCAGTGTGGGTGGAGTATGATTGGTGTGTGTGGGTGATGCAGGCGGTGGCAGGGGCTGTCTAAAATAAAACAATGTGTCTGAAAGAGGGGAAAAAGGTAGCACTC